CCCGGGATGATAGAGGCGTTTTTTCAAGACCATTCAGAGAAACGGATGATGTCATCGTCCTGAGACGATCGTTAGGGGGGAGGTACTGTAGAGGTTGGCTCCTCTACCCCTCCTTTCTCTGTTGTTTGTGTTTCCTAATTATCTCTCCACAGGTGCTACTCATTACCTGGACCGGGTGGAGGAGCTATTTAATCTGGAGCCTCACTCCAGATCAGTGCCAGAGCAAAGTTCTACCAAGCTCCATGTTCCTGTGACTACTGGCTGGCTGACTTCAAGCTCCTTATCGGTCTCCCTGCGTGACAGCAGCGTTTCTCCTCCTCTACCTTCACTCCTGTGTGCCTCACCTGGTTCCTGGTTCCTCCTCACCTCCACCCCGGCTCCCTTGGTGATTTTTGTAAATACACTTGTAAATATACTCACCTGATCCCACCGTGGATTGTTGGATTCGGATCCTGTCTCCTGTTCTCATGCTCCTGGAACAACAACGACAAGTAAGCTTATTTTTGGATTACTATCAACATTTCCAAAATCTCCTCAAGACGATTTGTCGTTCACCACCAATCTCCTCTCTATTCCCACAGTGGATCCATCCTGAGTTTGAGTTCACCAGATACACCTGAACCAATAAATAATATTGTTTTTTACCTCAAGTTGTTTAGTCCTTGCTTCAAACCGTTCGCCTTTGACATCACCTACAGACCATAACAAGTTTAGTCTTTGTTAAAACTAAACTGATTTTGTACAAAGTGTTTAATAGGTTGTGTAATGTAAAATTTACATTCTTACATATTGAATTTCACTGAGTTCTTGCCCTGTGTTGCTCTTTGGCATGAAAACATCTACTGCAGTAACTTTTTTAAGTTATTAATAGCTTAGTATTGATTTAGTTTTTCCTGTTTTCTTTGCCTTAATGTTGGCTGATATGAAACAAATGCCTCACTAAATACTTCAGGTGATACCGTGAGAGTCACTACCTCCAACATTACAGCTATCTTGTTTGTCTAAAGTTAGCTCACCCTGGGTTACATTTCCTCGTGGGTGAAGCAATCTTACTGTTCATGTAAAATATTTGATAATGTTCCTATAGAAACAATTCCTGAATGTTGTTCCTACTGTATTAATGCTACATGTTTGTCTCTTGACCCTACAACTGGGTAACCTTACAGTGGACCTAGCTCGTTACTGACGTTTTAATTAGGTATTTTAAGCTACTACTAAACAACAGGCTGTAATGCCATTATGAATAGACCTGGATTTATCAGTCCAATTCTTGTTCTGCATCATGAACAGAACTCCCAGGCCAAGCCCAAAAAAATGCATCTGGAAACTATGTGCCTGTGGGCCCATTATGTATGAGAAAAGTAATCAAGGTCAGGTGCAACGTGAAGCAGGTGGCAGGCAATGCCCAGGCCCATGCTGATTCATGACATCATAAAAAGGCTTCAGGTCACTTGGTCTGATGATTCCAGTTCAGTGGAGGTATGTCCTGTTCAGTCATCTTACTCTCAATGTAAGGATTTTGGATATTGAACTGATAAACATACAAGTCAGCTGAGTTTGTAATGTTATATTCCTTTTTTTCATCCCATCTAAATAACTTTTTAAACCCATCAGCTATTAGTTTTTATGAATAGTTGAACTATTCCATGCATCATATGAAATCTAGAAGTAGTCTAACTGATTGGATACCTATGTATCAAGAACAACAACAACAAAAACAGTTGAGATGAATTAAAGTTTTATTTCACTTTTTTTTTTCTTACAAATATTATCAGTTTTGTTTGAGGTACCAAAGACAACAGATGACAGTAGTTAAGGAGGCTCATGTGCACAGAAGGATGAAGCAAACATTTGGGAAGATTGAGAAGGATCAGAAAATGCAGGTTATTTCTGCAGTTGGTTTGGAGCTGTAAGGATGGATAAAGTGTGCTGGCATGAGCCAACTGTAAACATGAAAAGGTTTAGAGATGGATTTATTCTGATCCTTTCTTCAAGAGTTATCTTGGAAATTAATACATCTCCTATTTTGTAAGGATTCATAGGGTCAAAGGGTAGAAAGTATGAAAATGAGCACCTGGTAACAGCTGAACTAGCAACAAGAAGAGAGGTGCATAGTGAAGCACTGCAACCACAATACAAATACAATACACACTGACAGCTTCACTGGAGACAAACAGTATAATTACAGCTCATGCTGCATTTATATGTCTGGATTTACCTTAGTCATATTTGCACAAAGAGCATTAATCAGTTAAAACAGGGAACATTTTAAAACCAGATGTTTTGAGCACTTGTAGAAGAATGTAGTGTTAAACACCCCTTGTGTATTTGATGCCACAGGCCCCCTTCACACTGGATGACAACCCATCTAGAAAACAAACCAAACAAAAAACAGCCAAGGATTGTCTCTGCAAGGTCTTGCTGAGGTCTTTATGTGCATAAAAAGAATGATGTTATAGGGGATAACGTTACAGTTCACGAAGGGTTTGGATGACTCAAACTTCTATAGCAAGGGGCGTGTAGTTTATTATCAAGGTGGCAGCAGCATCCTGGGTGGAACATGGGGAAGGAAGGTGGCTGCGCATCCATGATGTGGGGCCTACAAACTTCAGGACTACTTGATCATGGACAATTTAAAGAAGAACTGGTCATGTTTGCCTCATGCAAAGGTTACAAAAATTATTAAGACGCGGTTATGGAAACAAGTTAGTGCAGATAATACCTGTAGAGTTGTTTAGTGCGATCTAATCTAGTGCCTAGCTGCATTCTGATATGGAATTAAACACTTGTGCCAAGGCCGGTATGTGAAGTGTGGTAAGGGAAGATAGGAGCATCTTGACTGTATGTAAACTTGTGAATTGCACCGCTCAAGGTGGCTACATGTTGGAGCAGCTCTGTTACTTTCATTCTGAGATTTTGCGAAACTTTAATTCTTCTTTTTCTGGATGTAAATCACATTTTTTGGATGATTGTTTCCTCTGGTATCAGATGCTGTGCAGCTGGAAGGATTTTTACTGAAACTTTTTTAGTTTTGGACATTTGTTATGATGCGTAACCATGGCAACAAGGCCATTTTCAACAACCAACAGCAGCTGATTAACATCTCCAAAGCTCAAACAATATCTCAATGACAGCCCCAAATCTCAAATGAGTTGAAAAGGATGTTCTGCGGATGCATTCTCATCTACCTGCCAGCTGTGCTCGAGTGCCTGACCACTGAGATCCTGGAACTAGCAGGAAACACGGCTCATGACAGCAGAAGGACAGGATCGTCCCTCAGCACCTACAGTTGGCTGTCCACAGCGACGAGGAGCTCGGCAGACTGCTGGGAGGAGTGGCCATCGCTCTGGGAGGAGTTCTGCCCGGCATTCGGGCGGTCCTACAGCCCGGGGGAACTGAGAGGCCAGCTGAGTCTGGGTGGACGGATCAAACAGCATCTGCAGCCAGTTTCTTAGGATCCACTGTGGGAAGGGCCATTACAAGAGATCCTTCCTGTCTACAGCCATCAGTACTTACAACATCTCTTAATGAAATGAGGATAACGAGTTACAGCAACAAATAATTTCCCTTTGGGATTAATAAAGTATTTTTGAATTGAATTGAACTGAAAAGAGCTGAAAAAACATATTGGGAACAACAAGCGGAGTAGCAACATGATTAACTTTACACTGAAGTTTTTCCAAATTTTCTGCCATCAAGTCGTGTTCTGATGTGCTGTGCAGGTTGTGGAGATGGTATGGAGAAATGTGATCCAGTATGAAGAGGTCTTAAGGCTAGATCACGCTGAGCAATCTCAATGTAATAAAATGTTGATAGTACAGTACTGTAATCGATGTCATTAACTAGATGCCAGAAATTCACAAAAACCTGACTTGCTTCAACTGAAACTATGCACTGTTGTTGAAAACTTTATAACATTTGAAGAAGGAATAAAAAGAGACGGTCTGTGGACCTGATCATGACTGGGAAAAATACAGGTTGCAGCTGTTGATGTTCTGACGCTGCTTGATTTTTGCAGTAGGTGGTCTTTGGTTGTGAGATTGTTAAATTGGATGTTGGTAGTCTTGTGACAATGAACGATCATAGAACACTGACTCAAGCTCACAACCAAAAATCTTTTAACAAAATCTAATTTACAAAGATTTGATCTAGGACGGCCAAAATCTGCAATGTTTTCAACGAGCTGGTTAATCTTACTGAGGAAAGGAGCAGGGGAAAGTGCAAAAACAGTCAAAGTTACACAGGCACTTGAGAAAATGACAAAAACAAACATTTCAATTAAGGCACAACAGATAAACTACATGTACAAACACCAGTCAAGATCATAATTGTTGCAGTGGACGTGCAGAGCTGCACACACCAGTGCTCGTAGCAAAACAGATGTAGAAACAGACGACATGTTCTGAATACTGGTCTTTAGCAGAAAACCAGTTTTCTTGAGAAATGGAAGAACGTTTTCTCTAACGACTTATGGCTAACACTGACATACAGCTCACCGTGGTTTCCTATTGAAGTTTAATGTGGGAGTGTGCCACAGAAATTTGTCTAGTGTCTGATATTTTTAGGGGGAAATATTTTGACCATTTCTCTGTCATTTTTCATACACATCTGATTTTTCCTGTATTCTGTCTGATTGAGACTTATTAGTTTTCTCTACAAGAGTGCAATATAGCAAATCACCAACTAATATAATAATTAGTAAGGTAATAAGAACTGAAATCTAGTTACATCTTTTAAAGTGCACTGAAATAGACTGTAATGAAAAGTGACACCTTGGGGGTCCTGAAGATTCTAGTATTTAAAACTAATTGAGAAATAGTGAAAACATTGTCTAAAAAATTATTGTTTTAAAAGAACAAATATTAGATGTAATCTACAGAAACATGTTTGAATGCTTCTGCTATAAGAACTAACCATCCAGAGCAGCTTTGAGCCACATTACTCCAAGTACAAGTAGAATTTAAAGTACAAAACAAACATTATTGACCACCAAATCATACTTTATTTTTTTTTTTTTTTTGTGCACAAGTCCCAGGAAAACCATTCATGACCAAACATTTATTATAACTAGACACAGGACTGGAAGCCAGAAGTTGAGACCACCAAGGACATTACCCCCCTAGTGGCTAACTACATTATATATTTTAAGCCCCGCCTCTCCAAGTATTTTCTTGACTAAAATTTAAACTTCAGATATTTTTTTCGTGGGTCATTTTTGTTGATTCATGCAGTTCTTATCTTGCCTTGTATGTTCAAATGTTTTTTTTTATAAGTTTGCTTTCAATAAGTATATGGAGCCCTTAAGAAAAGTGCTTTGTTAGATTGGGATTGACATGGTGACCTGTTAGTGAATTAACAGCGTGCATGGGCAGGACTCCTGCATGCTAGTCAACTGTGGCTCCAGTAGTTTGTTGTTTCAAACTGCTGTGTATCACGTCATCCAGCTCTCAAAACATTTTCAGTTTTGAAGCTACTATAGCTGGACATGGGCACCAGTGACCCCCGCGACCCGAAAAGGAAGAAGTGGGTAAAGCTGATGGATGGATGTGAAACTGATAATCTGCAGACGTGTGAACAAATCCTTTGAGAAACACATTTTAGGCATTTGAGATGTAAAAGTTTCAATTAAAACCTCAACACTAACAAAAATTTTAAAATGCCATTGCAGCACCACTAAATAGCAAAATTATTGACGTCAACAGCAAAAGATAAGAGAAAGAACATTCCCAGCTTGCCTAAAGATTGTCCAGGAACAATAGTGGCTTATTTTCCCTTTAGTGCTGTTTATTGTTTCCTCTCAGGTATCGATGGTAAGGGTCTTTGAGCACAAAGTTCAAATTTATTGGCGGCAGGATCAGGAAAGAGCAAGCCAGACACAGAAGATGTAGTTTGTTAACAGAAAGTAATGATGAGCATGCACGAAACAGGCCACCACAGCATGTTCTCCTCAAAAGCTCAGTTGATCAAATCTAGATGGATGCATCAAAACAGTTTTTCAAAAAATCACAGATTTTCTCATCTGAAGTTGCATCTGGATGAGAGACCAGTAAACGATGTTCCAGATTAATAACTGATCAAAACTGCTCCACAGCATGGTCAAAAATCTGTTGCTATTAAAGTGTGAATTCACTGCAAAAGCTTTATGTTTTCAAATTAACGAGGGATTCTCTCTCATTTTTGTATTTTTCATGGGACTTGTTCACAAAATGTGAATAAGATCGCTAATCTGACTTTGTGATGAGGAATGACGCGGCTCTGCTCTTCTCACGTGGTACTGGACGACACCAAGCAGCTGCTCGGTCGGTTTAAATCAGCACCAAAAACCAACAGACGCAGTGCAAACACACACAAACATGGACACACGCTCACCTCGGTCACTACAAAACAAAGCTCACACACAAGTATGATGACTCCAAAAACATAAATGTATTTAAAGTTAATGTCATTGGCAACTTATGGAATAGTAAGAGATTTACAGCTTTCAGCCTTTAGAAATGATTTTTCCTTCACTAGTTTCACAATCTGACTTTTTCATTGGGAGCTGATTAATAACATTAATGTTTGTTTCCCTCTCAACATATATTTCATAAACTCTAATCAGCCTGTCACTCTCTGAGCACACTACAGACTGGAAATGTGTGTCACTGTTTTGCACAAGTTCAACAGTCTTACATTGCACAGTGTTGTTTAAAAAACATGTAGTTCACTTAAGACACAAATAAGTGCATGAGTACAATTTCTGTTGAGTTGTGTCTCCTTGAGAGGCAGATAAGACGACGATTTAACTCCAATGGGGGAGAAGGCCCTTCTTGTAGGCCAGTAGGCCCGCTGCAGCGACAGCAGGCACAATGGTGGAGACCCCCATGAACTTCAACAGACCACCGACTGAAGGCAAGTTCCTCTCCCAGAAGGTGGTGACAAATGGGCGTGCCTGGACCTCCTGCAGGAGGAGGAGAGGGGAAAAGTTACACTCACTGTGCTACTAGATTTCTAATGCAAAACATTTATATCAAATAACATCGTGCAAAGTAAAAAAACAAAAGGATGGAAAGTGATTTGAATCATGGTTTAGGTCATTTGGTAATGAGTCTGTTTCCACATGATGAAAGTTGCTGACAGCAGACTTAGTCTTTTCATGCATCTGTAAACGAGTTTGACAACAATGATGCTGCAGCTGAAAGTTTTGGTCTGAAAGTTAAAGAAGTCATTCCTTACATCATTTTCAGGCTCCGGCTGGTTGATCTGACTCTGGTGAATCTTACCCATCGCACACAAGACCTGCAAAAACACACACCATCAACCAAACAGCATTTATTTGAACAACTTTTAGATGAGTGGAAACGTGTGCATGTTTGGTTAACTTTGTTGCTTTAGCACAGGGGTGTCAAACCCGCTTACAAAAGGGGGTCAAAATGAAAACCTTTTTCAAACTAAGGGCCAGTTTCAGAATGTACATTTACTCAAGTTAGATCCCAACATCTTTTCTTGGTTGCAGGTTCCTCTCCAAGAGTTTGTTTGGTCTCAATATGTGTTTTCTGTTGCATTTTTGACATCATAATCAAAGATTACTGAAAAAAATTAAAGTGATAAAAATATTTTACATTTAAAATAACATCTTGGGGGCCAGATAAGATGTTAAGGAGGGCTACATTTGGCCCCCGGGCCTTGAATTTGACACATATGCTTTAGCAGAAGTAGAAAACAAGAAGTGCATTTCTGCTCCTGGTACTGGGGGCATGGGGCTCAAAAGGTTAACGTATTTTAGGTCCACACCCAGACTGCACCTGATTATCTCATCCTGAGATGCTAATATCTCTCTGACACTTATTGTATTAGCTGTTGCTTCTTAGCCATGATGCTGTTTAAATAAACTGAAAGCATTTTGTTCTGAATGACCTCTTGTCCTGTATGTTCTATATCTAAGTGGCATCAATAAATGCTGGTAGTGCTCCGACCTCTCTGGCTGCTCTCTCTCCAGCTTGAACTGCACCCTCCATGTAGCCGCTCCACTCTGAGGCCGTCTCTGTTCCAGCAAAGTACAACCTGCCAACAGGCTCCCTCAGAACTCTGCAGACAGAACAAGGCACACAACAAAGTCAGTTCATGAAACAGTTTGATTTTTACTCTTTTAACTTAGTGTGCACTTTGCCAACACGTATCTGTCTTTTTTGTTATGGGGAGGGGGTGAATACATGATCATTGGAGCATCCTTTTCACAATTTGCTCCTTATGTTTCTGTTTCCATCAATATTTTCATTCATTTCTCCTCCTGCAGTTTTGGAACACCCTTAACAACAAAATGCATCTTTAGCGTGAATTATTTTTGGAATGCATTCTAAATTTCCTTTGCAAAAGAATTGTTCACTGAAGGACTAAAACACATTATGCCTCAAGCTGCTGGCTGGGCCTGCTAACGCCGCTAACGCTGCTAACGCCGCTAACGCCGCTAACGCTGCTAACGCTGCTAACGCTGCTAGTGGGATCTTCCATCTGCCTGCATGGACTGAACTCTACGGACCCGTTCGGTTCCACAGGTAAACCTTGGATGTTCTCTGTCTGAACCAGGTTCTGGACTGCGGTCTGTGAGGGCAGCTGCTGCGGTCCTTATTACCATCAAGCTACTGACTGGACATGCTAACAGAACAGAACCATGATGTAGAAAGAACCTCACTGCTAACTAAATCACACTGTAGATATATTTCTTTTTCGACTTTGGAGCCTTGTTTTAGTATTTTAGAATTATTTTTTAGTATGTTCTTAGTATTTTTGCTGCATGCTTTGATACACATATATA